ATCCACACGTTCAAGAGTGGTTGTTACCGGTGTTATAAAACAACTTATTATAAGTTAGAATAATTCGTATTTCTTTATGTTTGTTCTCCTCTAATGGCTACTGGTTCCATTCAAATGTGCTGCAGATGATCCARAAAAGACACAACACCTACTTGCTCTTGATGGAGCTGTGGAAAGACTATCTCTGTTTGAAGCTAACCTGACTGAAGAAGGATCTTTTGAGTCTGCAGTTAATGGCTGTGAATGCCTCTTTCATACAGCATCTCCTGTTATATTTGCAGTTGATGACCCACAGGTTGTTTTTTCACTATTTTGCTCTCAATGTTCTGTTCCTAAATGTTGGTATAAGTTTTAAACCATGTTGATGAGTTCTAGATTGGTGTCTGAATGTGCACAGTCACCTGAAGATTTGATTGATGTTTATGCTTTTATTGTGATTATATTTATGGTGGTATCGGCTAAATCGGCTGTCTTGAACCTTTGAGATCTCAGTAAGTTGATGGTTCAATCAGACCTGTTTATGCAGTCTTTCGCTATGAATTTTTCGTCGTATTGTGATTCTGTCACCACCCACACCAACTGTTTGAAGAAAGCTCAGTTGTTCTCATTTTCCACTAGGCACAATTGCTAGATCCTGCAGTGAAGGGAACACTTGATGTTCTTAACTCAGCTGCAAAAGTTCCATCTCTCAAGAAAGTGATCTTGACATCTTCCATGGCTGCAGTTGTGTTTGGTGGAAGACTTCTGGAGGCTGGTGTTGTGGTGGATGAAACCTGGTTTTCAGATCCAGTAATTTGCAAGCAAAATAAGGTATCGTTGCGTAAAACTTTAATCTGTAGGTCTAATTTTTCCGATTGTCTTGAGTTGGTAAACAGATTTGTGTAAACAGATTATGTTTACATTATTGCTTGTAGTTACAAGTCTAAGAATCATTCAGCAAGATTCGGGATTATTATCATTCAGCTACAAATGTTGTAACTAATCGAGGGCTTAATATTTTTCAGTCATGGTATTCTCTTTCGAAGACCCTGGCTGAAGATGTGGCGACCAAATTCTCAAAAGATAACGGTTTGGACTTGGTGGTAATCAACCCTTGCTACGTGATCGGTCCTTTCTTACAGCCAACTATCAACCTCACGTCCGAGGGCATCATGAGCTTGATAAAGTCCGGTAATTTAACATTCATAAGCAAGATCGATCCGAAGGTTGGACCTATGTAGCAGGCCGTGTATTCACGTGTAGAAAAAAGTTATTATGCTTAATGGATACCGAAAAGGGATTGGGTAGGGAAAACTTGTTGTGCAACGTTTGGCATGACAGTAAAATGGGACCGGACAAGACCTGAGTGGGACAAAAATGCATTTTTTTTTCTATCCCACCAAAATAGGTGGAACTAAAATCCTACACCCTTAAAAACCTTCCACAATTCTTTCATCTGCCTACGTCCTTTCCCACCCGCGTACCAAATGCACCCATAGGGGACAAGATCTAGGTACGAAGAACGTTTTTCTGGGAACATCTTCTATAAGTAGCTTAATGCATACAGTTTCTTTGAACATTAGAATAAAGCACTGAGATAGTTCTCTAGATCAGCATGGCAATGATTTGATTCAGACAATAAAGAAAGTCTTACGTTCATTAAGCTGTTGAAATCGTATATATGCAGGAAAGGAATTATACCCAGATCCAGATGGAATTTACAGACTTGTTGATGTTAGAGATGTTGCTAATGCACATATATTAGCATTCGAGAACCCAGAAGCTAACGGTAGATACTGCATGGTTGGGGCTGTGACTCGCTATTCAGAGATCATGAAGATCTTGGACAAATTCTACCCTGCTCTTGGCCATTCCAAAAGGTAAGTATCTGTTCCCATGATTATATATATATATATATATAGAGGAGTGATCATATGAAAACCGCCCACATTTGTGTAAACCGTGCAAACCACCTTCATCTGTTATTGTTTAATCTTATGAAATTTTTTTCATGAAATTGTTTAATCTTGTGAAATTGTTTCATATAATACTTTTTTTTGATGAAGTTGTTTCATATATGGTTGTGAAATTGTTTCATATAATACTTTTTTTTGATGAAGTTGTTTCATATATGGTTGTGAAATTGTTAAATATAATACTTAATGAAACTGTTTCATGTATTTCTCTAACATTAATGAAAC